CATTGTATAATTTACAGTGAAAAACCGTAAATTGACACACCCAGAATTCCCTGCATGACGCTTCATATTTGATGTTTTTTTTGTTGAAATAACATGTTTTTTCTTATCAGTTGTGTACATTAGGGTTTAATCTTACATCTAATGTTGTTAAATTAATGTTTATTGCATCATTTCAGTATCATGTGTGTCACCATGATGGGGTTTAGTGTTTGTGTGAATGACACTGTGCACCTTCTATATATAAGTATTGCTCTCCTCAGCTCGTAGAAAAGCTGTTTGTGATGAGCTTTGGTTCATCACGTGACTTTCTCATCACCACCAGTTTTTGGTGGTTATCAGTGCATTACAATAGTTCAAAACAGATATTAGTACTTCCATATGTTGATTTATTAACATTGCATCAGTTAATGGAATATGGTATTTTATTGTGAATTTAAGTTAAGTCTGTAAAACCTAAAATGTTGCTACCATATTTTTTATGGTGAAGTTCTGGCAACCACAGCTGCCAGTATTTTACCGTAATTGTCACTTTTTTTTTTTTTTACAGTGTATAAATATGTTTATGAACCACAGCTGCCGGTATTTTACCGTAAATGTCACAGATTTTTTTGTACAGTGTACAAATAATTTTAAATACAAATACACATCTTACTTGGCAAAATATAGCAAATATGTTCATTTAGTGAATTTCTGAGTTAATGCTTTGCTCTGGCTACAAGATAAGCCTGAGTTTGTTTGGTAGGGAAGAAATGAGAACCTGACCACCTGCATTCCCTTGACCTCCACATTCTCCAGTTCATTAAAGTGAAACGGGCAGAAAAAATGCACCAAAAACCCAAGAAGTGCAAACTACAGCTAGCACATATGCTACAGACCACTTAGACAAACTCAGCATTTTAAAAAACAGCACGGTGAGCGAACGCTCCCGGTATATAAATTAGCTCTCCTGACAGATCCTGCTGAAAAGGAGGAAACAGCAAAATGTCACTTTGAAAGTGATATCAGGGGGAAATTACTTGAGCTCATTAGTACAGACTACAATCAGTGTCATGTTACTAAGCCCCATTTTTCAGCTCAAGTTATCCCTGTACTGTCAGAGATTTACACAATCAGCAAACCACAGCGACAGAACAAAGTGTAGACTATCACAATGCTTTTGTAAAGTCAAAGTCATTTCCTTTCACTCAGGCACTTCAAAGTGATGGACAGCATGTGCTGCTTTGTTAGACAGACTGTGTGTTCTCAATGAATCAATAGTCATGACCTACAGATAACTGACAGAGTGTCATACTGTGTGCCCTGAGGTAATACACACACACACTGGTCTGGGCCGTGTGTCACATATTCATACTTTGCTGAACTAACAAACCGGACATTGCTTTTGCAGGAGGTTTCACACCCTGAAATCAGTCGTCTCTACTGACCGCTGTTAATCACTTTAAGATAATTGAGTGTTTTTTTGAAGGGGCCAAAGTATCTTTAACAAAAAGCTGCCATGAGATTTTTTCAGCTTGAACACTAGATTCCCCCGAAAAGGGCTAAGAAACGATAACACACTCTATTGATTGCAGCAAACCCCAGAGCGAGTGCTCGGCTCTTTACCCACAGTAGTTGGCTTCAGTGGAAAGATTTGTACCAGCGCAAGTCAAACAATTCAAACCCTTGGAGTGTTTTAGCAAACAAAATAAACAGCACATTTATTGGACTCACAATTCATTTACACTCATGTCTCGATGACTTAAAGCTTGACCTGTAAAATCTGAGGTACAACAGCAATGATAAAAAATCTAGTGGTTAAATAAATAAAGAATAAATTGTTATAATAATAAAAATAATATCAATAGTAACAAAAATACTGCAAATACTACTATAACAATAACTACTAATTATAATTTATATTTTATTATTTCTATTTATAATTTGTATTATAATCATATATAATTATTCCAGTAAATAACTGAATAGTAGGCCTATGGAGTGTTGGATCGTGCCATGTAATATTTTTCCGGAGGGCAAAAAATTCAATTTTCTTCTGAAAGCAGCGAATGCATTTATTCTTAGCACAAACTGACATTAACTCCACCTAATTAAGCTGTCAACTTTCCATCAGCGTGTTTTAAAACCATACCTGGACCAACCACAAAGATGAATTGCACCATGAAATGCAATCCTTAAATGGTCTGTCCGGTAGATGCTCTGATGGAAATGAAAAATAGGGGAGTTAAAAGAAATGAACAGGATGGAAGCAATGAAAAAAAAAAAGAAGAAGCAAGGCAAAATATAGCGACTAGTAAAGAAAAATTTAATTAATAAATATATATTATTATAGGGACACAGAAGCATCGAAAACACAAAAAACTAATCATTATACTAGTATTATTAATAATATTCATATTATTATTACTGTAGGGACATAGAAAAATTAAACCAATAAAAACAATGTGTGCTACAATTTCCCCCTTCAAATATTACCTATATTTAGCTAAAATAACTGAAAAAAGTGGGTGTACTGGCCTTTTTGTCTCTTGGGAACAGGCAAAAGTGTGAGATTAAACAAAGACAATCAATTCTAATAACCATAGCATCATAAATCGCAGGAAAATCTACTACTGTTGAACTGACTAAAGTCAGTTTCTCTTGAGAATATGACATTCTGACAGCTTCAAGAAAGTGAAAAAAATACCTATTGGGGAGTTAAAGTTGCACCCCTGAAATATTAGTTATACACAAGCGGCAACCTTCTGGTCTCTCTCGTGAAACCAACACGGAAGTGAGTAAAACTGCAATTCATTGACTGGCCGCTAGAGGCTGGCTCTAACTTTACAGCAGAAAAAAAATATGTTTACATCCTGGTATAAAAAGTGGTTTTGGTCTATATAGCTAATTTTGCCCTTCATAACAACTGTGAGGGGGGGGGATTTTTTTTATAACTCATCTGTTTAAATTATATTAAGCCTTAAAGTTCTGCATAATTAAGGGAGTGGCCACTTGAGTGACAGGTGGATTGCCGCTGCTGTCACCACCGTCGAGCTAGGTGGGCGTGGTTTCAGAAACCAGCTCCCGCCTCTTTGCCCATTTTCGATTATCCGGTAATGACGCGTGGTGACGCGCTGCCAAGATGGTGACGGTCGGCTCCGCCAACTTTGAGCTTCAAAAATGCTCTTCAGAAACCTACAGGTGACGTCACGGACACTACGTCCATGTTTTTATACAGTCTATGGTTATACGCAGTGACTACTATGTACTATTTGAGTACTATGTGTACGTTCAGACACAATAAAGCTTCCAACAGGGCCACATCCGTCTTTAAAGGGTGTGATATGTGATCCTGAGAGTATCAGATTATTTATATGCTCCGTGGAGAAGAGGCTGCACTGGTCTATTTCCAAATGTTCCGTAATCAGGAGAAATCAATAGGTTTCAGAGCACTTTGCCTCAGATTTATCTCCATCTCCTGACAGCTGCTGTGTCCATCTGAAGGCCAGCTCAATGGCACCAGCCAATAGAGTCTCCAATCAGAGAGAGGGGGTGAAAAAGGGAAAGGAGAGCCAGGGAAAAGGGGGGAAAGCACTTGGATTACACTGGTCTCCTAGGCAACAGGCAATGCTGGAGTATATAAAGACTGTTTGATAGTCTTGGCAGAGAGATCTTTCATTCTCTCTAAGAAGCATGGGCCTCTGAAGATGCTATATTCCATTATAAGCAGTAAAGTTAATCCAAAATG